ACTGGCACTTGACTTTTAGATTAAAAGTGTGATCTTAAAAAAAAACACTGATTTGCGAAGCCTGTAACTTGAATTCAACCCTCAACTCAACTCAATTGTTTGTATTAATAAAAAAAAAAAAGAAGTGTATTCAATTCCAACATTGTGAGACCCGGGCGGTGCAGCCGATAATCATCCTGCCACTCTTCATGGGATAGACTCTGCTTGTTATTTTATAACGCCAAATGTAGCTGCTTCTGAATCCCCAAACCAGGCTTTAATGGGTTACCATAAACTGACCAGTTCTCAGCGGCCACGACCACAGGACGGTCCAGTCATTAACAGGTCGCTGTGGCTGTCAAGGGCCATTTAAGCACATTAGACACGGTCCCGCTAGCATAACCTGTTAACCGCTTCTTACGGTGGGAGACTGCTGGAGGCAAAGCAGGACAAACATTAGAGACACACACACAGTTGACTAGAAGCTGGAGGTTTGAGGGGCTGGTCTCAGTGATTTATCCATGTGGTTTCACCATATGACTTAATCTTCAGAAACCTCACCCTGTCTAGCAGACAGTCACACTCTGACCCCCCACCGAGCATGGTCCATACACTTGAAAAGATAACACTTTCAATCCAAACTGTTTGAAAGTGATATTGTAATTAATGTACAATAGAACATTTGATAACTTCATTGTATATAAACTACAACGAAAATTAAATGGGAATATGTTTTGATAATTCGCAATCACTTAACATTTGAATCTTTGAGAAATATCAATATTGATACATGACGTTTTCACAACCAGTTAATATATTTATAGCCTAACCTTATCTGGACGAAGAAACTAACACTTATAATTATCGTTATGGTAATGTACAGTATTTACGAGTTTCTTCAAAAGTGACACAAGAAGTGTAGCTCGCTATCATGCTAGGAAAGTGAAAAAAAGAGCTTGACTAGCAAACATAGTAATCATTATGTAAGAATAAATCAACTCACACAGTGTCGGTATTTATTTTTGTAGTTTAAGATTACCTTAATTCAAATTGTTTGTTTTCGATTTGATGTTTTTACTCTGTTGTTCAGTTTATTGGGGGTAATATTGTGCATAGAATGATGGCCTGGTGAAGGTTCTGCGCCTACCTGAGGGTGTGTGATGGCGTGAGAGGAATGTGAGAGGCACTCAGTGGCTTTTATGGTGAAACTTCATTACAAAACAATTTTTCCAATAAGCTGAACACCTGCAGTCTGCCAGCAGCACACTGGTTTGGTTTGGCTTAGTCTGGCAGGCGTGTTGGTGCTTTTCCAGACTGGCTTCTGGCCCGCGATGTGCTCTTGGTAAGCTGTGTGTGTGTGTGTGTGTGTGTGTGTGTGTGTGTGTGTGTGTGTGTGTGTGTGTGTGTGTGTGTGTGTGTGTGTGTGTGTGTGTGTGTGAGAGATAGGCTATTGTACTTGGTATTATTGGTATACTCGTGGGGCCTCGAGAAAAAGACAGACAGACGCTTGCCTCGGATGGCTGAAGTGTGACAGTTAAGACTAGGGATGCTCCGATCGATCGGCCGTTGATCGATATCGGCCGATATTCACTCTCTGCCGATCGATCGGTGCTCTCTATAACGGCCCCTACACACGGCGGCGTGCGTTAACGCTTGCCGGCCTGCCACCTGAATCTCCCGCCCCGGACACAAAAGCAGCGGTTTGATTGGCTAGAGCTTGTACTGGCATATGATTCGATTGGCTGACGCTTCCGTCGAAGCTCCAAAAGTAGAACATTGCTCTACTTTTGAAGCAAGCAACGCTTCACGCTACGCTTTGCTCCCACAATGCAGTTCGGCGAAGCGTGACGTCACCCCATTCAAAGTGGATGGGCAGAAGCGTTGAAGCGTCAACGCAGAACCGATCACATGACGTAAAATACATCGGCAAAACAATCTCGCCAAAATGGCTTCACCAATCTGGCATTAATTTAAGGTGTCCGAAAAAGACAGTAAAATAGCGGTATGCAACGTGTGTGAAGCAGAAATCCTGCAGTTCCGCCAGCTGTGACGGACCCCGTGAGCGGAGCAAAAACACACTACCTTTAGATTAACCAACACACTTAGCTGATTTTATCTACCGCTCACTACTAAACTGCGTTATAAAATATGTTATTCTTCCACTGTCGGGTCACTCAGTTACTGGATCAGTGAGCTGCTTGAGATACAGGCTGTCCAGGAGACGAGCAGAGGGTGGGGGAGAGGGAAAAGGAGAGCGCTTCCGCTGATTTCTCGCCGCTTGTTATTTATCCAAAGTTAATGTAGACTTTGAATAATGTACTTCATTTGAAAAATGTAATATCATGTTTGGTTGTGTTTGTGGAAGCGCCGAGTAAATGAA